CTGCATCTGTTAGCTCAATGGAGTTTGAGTTGCTGAGCATTTGTTCCTCTCCTTTTGCATCTGAGGAGCAGAGGAGGATGCATTCTCTTTGTCTAGTGCGTGTGCTATGCACCTACATTGAACGCACTCAGAATGTGCGTTTATGTGACCAGCTGTTTGTCTGCTTCGCTCTGTCTAAACAGAGGCTGTCTCACTGGCATATGGCACCAGAGTTCTTGCTTTGTCCCAGTGGGTGAGAGCTCATTCCACCACGGGGATGGCAACCTCGTGGGCTCCTTTTAAAGCGGTGCCTGTAGCTGATATTTGTGCGGCAGCTAGTTGGGCATCACCGCACAAAATTTTGTGGTTTTATCGGACGTCACAGCCCCTTCAGTGGTTCATACCGTCCTTTCTGCTGGGTCTACCGCTCACTAAGGATGTGGTGGTTCCATTCCGGTTTGGTGGCTGCTCTGCAGGGCGTGTATATGGGCTGGGTTTCGTCACTGATTTCTAGAATTGATTTCGATTCACAAGGTCCCGAATTGATTCGATCCACGATTCGATTCAATTCGATTAGATTTGAATCTGGGAAATTTTGCCTCAGACAGTCAGAAATATTATAATTCAGATCAGTACATTTACATATTTTTGTATCTATAAAAAGGAGGCTGACCCTCGCAAGACTTTATCAAAGGTGTAAGCATCACAGCAGATGCCTTTGTGTCAAAGTAGCTGAAGATAAAACGCAGAAAAACATGAAGGTGATTTTCCTGGCCTGGGATTTTCTAAAAATATTCTGCAGTACATCAAAAACGAAAGAATCAACATACGAACATTACCTCTGAAGTTACAGAGGTTTTATTAGAGACACGGCTAAGCGTTTTGCATTTTGCATAATTTAAAAAAGTTTACATTTGTTCAAAAGCCTATTGAAACTAAAACCTATAGGTTTTCTTTTCGGAAGTAAGTAAAAGGAAAAAAAACAGCAGCCAAAAACGGTAGACCTGTGCGTAACAAGCAAGCGAATAATGCAGAAAACAGATTTTTAGACAGGAAACTGTTCTTGAAGTACACAGAGAGCGAGAGCTGTGCATGAAGTGTGGATTTTTTTTTTTATCGTGTTGGAAGCAAAACAGCAAAAGTAAGAGGGAATTCATGACGATGTTTATGTGAAGCGTAGTTTGGATCTGCTTTTGCTGCTGGTTCAGTCAATATAGTTTGGAGAGAGATAAAACTAACAGCTTTAGAATCAGCGCAAAAAGGGCGTAAACACAAAGTGCGGACCCGCCGAAACATCAGAATCAGCGAGCTGTCGGCTTTCAGCCCCGACTGTGTCCGTGCCGTCGGGTGAGAAAGGCGGCATCTCAACACAAAGTGGCCCCACTGAGCAGTTTGACTCGGTGAAGAGCGGCTATCGAACTGAGGGATGACTATGATGACAGCAGCTATATGTGCAGGCAGGGCCGTGCACATGTCATCACACATCATCTGCCTTAAAGGCGTGAATAAAGGTTTCTTCAGCCAAGACACACGAGGGCATGATATCCCATACTTATGTGTTTCACCTCGTTCCTCTCCTTCAGGGAACAGAAGTTATAGACATAACTATTTGTTTTCTTTTAATCAGTTACTTTACAAGCATTGGGGTTTTCATGTGAGAAGTGATAACTGTACTGTGTGTGGTTTCCAAACCCATTTCTTTGATGTTTTATTTGTCTTTGGTTACACCTAGTTACTCAGGTTTGCATATGTTGCTGTATTTCCCTTATGGTAGGTTCAGTTTTCTTTTCGTCAGGTTTGATTTTGCAGCATCTGATCTGAATAGGAGACCAGTGAGGTTCTTGTTTTCACTTTGGCATGACAGATTGTGAAGGTAGACACAATGTTTTGGGAACATTTGGAAACTTACCATAGGATAGGTTTCAGTTGCTATACCAGTACTGATGTTTTTAGCCCTGTCCTCAGTACTGCAGCAACACAAAATTTCACGAAAAGGAAATTAAACACACTAAATTCTGCTAGTCATGGTAGTGCTACGAAGCCTTTTTGATTACACAAACCAGGTCTGAATTCTCATCGAAAAAAAATATGAAAAATCTTCTTTTTTTTTTAAAATCTCTGTAGAATACAAAGTAGCTTGATCTTGGAGTCATTATATATTCTTTTCTTTCCTGTGGATAGAAAAGATATTCATATATAGACCTTTTTTGTCATGTGTGGTAGCGTTTACACTCAGAATCAGGATCTGAATGCACTGTTGTGCCAGATGTATTTGCTGTTCCAAGATGAGCCCTATAGACTTGCTATAGGTTCTTTGCGTTTTTTTTTTGTTTTTTTTTTATATATTGGTCTTTTTTACAGTTGAGCTGAAGGAACCTCCCACTGGAAACACTTGACCAGCAGGTTGTGCGGGGGATGTGATGTGTTGTTCAGTATGATCAGGAATTTAGGCTACTTCCTTGATTCAATAATTCACTCTAGGAGCTTCAGAGTAGCTAAGCTGAGTCCCATTGTATCGCGCTCCGAATTAGAAATTGTCATTCATGCATTTGTTTCATCTCGTCTGGACTACTGTAATTCTTTGTTTACTTGTTTATGTAAAGCCTCTTTGGAGCGTCTGCAAGTTGTTCAGAACGCTGCTGCAAAGCTTCTGACCAAGTCCTCCAAGTTTTCCCATGTCACACCCCTGCTGATTCAGCTGCACTGACTCCCCGTTAAATTCAGGATCCAGTTTAAGGTTTTGACCTTGACTTTCAGGGCCCTGTATGGACAAGCACCAACATATATAAGTGAACTTTTGCATCCATACATTCCCAGCAGGTCCCTGAGGTCATGTGACCAGGGCTTGCTTGCTGTCCAGCACACGAGGCTGAAAACAAAAGGCGACAAAGCTTTTGGAACTGTGGCCCCCAGATTGTGGAACTCTCTCCCTTTGAGCCTGAGATCTGTGGACTCAGTGGTCGCTTTTAAAAAAACAGCTAAAAACCCATCTTTTTAAACTTGGTTTTAGTTGATTTTTATTTTTAGGTTTTAGCTTCTGTGAAGCACTTTGTGATTTTTATCTTGAAAGGTGCTATATAAATAAAGTTTTACTTACTTTACTTACTTACTTAGTCCCCAGCACAAAGCCTTCCTACTCACCTTGTTCAGCCTCCAACTGTCACTGGCTGTGATGCTGCTTCTCCAAAAGATAGCTAGCCACAAAGAAAATGGTAACACTGTTAGTAAAAATGTGTTCTTGTTTGCACATTAAAGACCTTACCTTCCTTAAAAAGTAGACTGTGGTCTGTCTTTTCATGCAGACAGCTTAATGCCTAGTGTTCCAGTCTAAATCCAGGTATTTATAGCTTGTGCTTGGTCCATAGTGTTAACATCTTTACATCTTTCACTAGATAGTAATGGTTTTTAATTTAAACCTGGCCCTGCTACATTTCTTTCTCCTTTATCTTCATCATCTACATCTAATTCAGTGGTTTCTTTTTTTGCTAGGTTCCCCCTTTGTTTTACAAGAAAATTCCCCCCGGCACAAACACGTCCTCTAAAAACACACACACACACACACACACACACACACACACACACACACACACACACACACACACACACACACACAC